TGTGTGTGTCTGTCTGTCTGTCTCTGTGTGTGTGTGTGTGTGTGTGTCTGTCTGTCTGTCTCTGTGTGTGTGTGTGTGTGTGTGTCTGACTGTACTCCATCACAGGATGCTTCTAATTCCAGGCTTTTTTCGGGTTGTAACCAGAATCCCAGCTGTCCTGTCGGCCCCACCCTCACACACACCGGGGTGTGATATCGGCGTCCTCCTGCAGGCCCTCGGCTGCTTGCGTCCCCCAGCAGCTGACGGCGCGTGGGCGGGGGGCGAACGCTCGCTGACGTCTCTGCAGAGCAGCGCACTGAGGTCGGCCCGGCCCGGCCCGGCCCGGCCCGGCCCGGCACTGCAGATGGACATTCCTGGGAAGGGCTGGTTATTCGGGGTGACGGCAGCTCCTCTGCTTCCTTCTGCTCGTTTGTAAAATGTGTTTTTAAATCTCGTCTCGCTCCATCCTGCAGTTTTATTCAAAGACTCGTTAAAGGTTTCTGCATCGAATCAAAGAACTCTTTAACAGTGGGAGGAGAATTTGAGCCAAACTGGACCAGCAGCTTGTTTTCTACTGATTCTCTTCAAGTTTTTATTTGATTAATTAGCAGCTCAAACATTTACTGCCTGGAAACCCTTCAAAATAAAAGCAGGGTTTTATTTAAAGCAGCCAGGTCTCATAAAATCACTGATTTAATGTCATAAACTGAAGCTACATGTTGAATAAATTTGTTTTTATTCTCTTTTTTATCCACATATTTGAGGTTAAATAAACACTGAAACCAGCAGATTAAACTGGAAGTCCTTCCAGCTGCGCCTCATAAATTTATCTGCAGGAATTTGTTGTTTTCAGACGTTTGGCTCAATTAACACAAACAGAAACGGTCGAGGGAAGAGTTCAGTGGGTCAGGAACAAGTAATCTGATAAATGATCTGATAAATGATCTGATAAATAATCTGAATCAAACGTTCAGATCACCTGCTGACTCTGACACATTATGTTTGTGACTGATGCAGAAAATTATTGTGTGTTTTGTCTCATCTGATGTGAATGTGTGTGTTTCTGTGTAAAATGTGTTGCGCCTCCTCCTCCTCCTCCTCCTCTGGATTATTTCAGCTGTTGTGAATTAAAAAGGCATGTCGCGGCTCGGCCCAGACTCACGTTTTCACTTCTTCCCTCGTTGTTTACCCCTTTAAACAGGACGTTAGTTACATGTTTTGTTCAGTTTGGTTGTAATTTAGAGAAATTTAAAGAAAAAGCTCAAATTTAAAGCTTTAATAAATACAGAAGTGCTGCTTCTTGTGGTTTAAAGTGAAAATCTGTGACATATCTTGAGCTGATGCACGGTTTCTGTTCTGGAAAAAAGCAATAATTGAAAAAACTATTTTTTTTTACTTCTAAGTTTTAGTGATTAGAACAAGAAAACCACAAATCAAGCTCCAAACTCTTTAAGGTTATTAAATATTTTATTTTTAATGTTTGACCTTTTTAGTTGTAGCTCTCTTATAAACCACTGAGGCTAGTTAGCATTAGCTGTTAGATGCAATAAAATAAGATCAACACAAACCTGCTGCAACTCTTTATTTGTGCTTTGAGCAAATGATTGTTTGAAGACATGCTATTTTTCCTCAAACATCTTTAAGAAGGGAGTAAAAAAGTCCGGTTGGCCTCAGAGGAACGCAGAACGTTYAAAATCCAGAGCTTTAGAAACTTTAAGACTCTCTTTAGTTTGCTCGTTAAAACTCTCAGATGTGCGAAATAAAATGTCCAAATAAGTTACTCTGTTAGTGCCGGTCCGTTTATTGGATTTACTGAATTTACACCTCAAACATGCTAACACCTCGAACATGCTAACACCTCGAACATGCTAACACCTCGAACATGCTAACACCTCGAACATGCTAACACCTCAAACATGCTAACACCTCAAACATGCTAACACCTCGAACATGCTAACACACTTAACGCACACATACTTTACTCGTTCTTCCTGTCTCTGTTTGATGGGTTTAGAAACGTGTTTTCCTGCAGAACTGAGGTCTGAAAACAGGTGATTCATATTAGAGCCTCAGATTATGATTAAACCATCAGTTTGAAGCGACACGTTAAAGAAATGAGTCGTTGGTTCGTTCTGATCCTGGTCTCTGGTCATGGATTGTAAACGTGACGGTTTCTCCTGCTGTTGATAAATGAGCTGCAGGACAGAACTGAGACTTTCAGAGAGGAGGACGGGGCGGTCCTGGTGGGTTTACGGAGGTGATTCTTCAGCAGGAAGCCTCACAGGTTCTGTGGGACAGAAAAAAAAAGAGACTAAATCCTGAAGCTGTCTCTGCTGGAGTCAAACGTGTGAATAAAGTCTGTGTTTGCAGTCATTTWACTGTGCAGAGAGCTAATCAGCTGTAGCATCTGCAGCTACCAGCATCCCGGCGAGGAGGAGTGGCGTGTCGTGAACACATGATGGTGGAGCTACGTGTCTTTGTGTCTGAGAACAATAAAAGCTTTCATGTGATCCAGCAGGTGAAAAGCTCCACTAGTTAATGTAAAACCAACACAGAGACTTCAGCTTTTTTTATTTCCTGCTGCCAGGTAACCACAGGGGGGGCGGAGTCAGGCTGGAGAACAGGAAAATAACATTGAACTGGGTTATAGATGCACGACGACGTGGGGGGTGGGGGATAATTTTCCCTCGACAGGTGTTCCCTCACGAGCAAATAACCGACTCAGAAAAGTCAACAGTGTCTGCCCTGCAGCTGTGTTTGTGTCACAAAGTGTTTAAAACTGATAAATCTCTACAGAAACAAGGAAATATAACAAAACATTTAATGTTTTTAAGTTTTATCCTTTAAAAACTGATGATCTGAAGAGTAAAGTTCTCACATGTTCAACCTGCAAGTGCTGAACTGAGCTGAAACGTTTCAAAAAGTTTTAATTTAGGGTTGAAACAGTCAGAGCAGAGGCTAAAATAAGCTAAAAGAACAAGAATGGGCAAAGCACAAGCTAAAATGAGCCAATGTACAAGCTAATATGAGTCTGGTACAAGCTAAAATGAGTCAGGTACAAGCTAAAATGAGTCACGTACAAGCTAAAATGAGTCACGTACAAGCTAAAATGAGTCACGTACAAGCTAAAATGAGTCGGGTACAAGCTAAAATGACTCTTTATTTGTGCTTTGAGCAAATGATTGTTTGAAGACATGCTATTTTTCCTCAAACATCTTTAAGAAGGGAGTAAAAAAGTCCGGTTGGCCTCAGAGGAACGCAGAACGTTCAAAATCCAGAGCTTTAGAAACTTTAAGACTCTCTTTAGTTTGCTCGTTAAAACTCTCAGATGTGCGAAATAAAATGTCCAAATAAGTTACTCTGTTAGTGCCGGTCCGTTTATTGGATTTACTGAATTTACACCTCGAACATGCTAACACCTCAAACATGCTAACACCTCGAACATGCTAACACCTCAAACATGCTAACACCTCGAACATGCTAACACACTTAACGCACACATACTTTACTCGTTCTTCCTGTCTCTGTTTGATGGGTTTAGAAACGTGTTTTCCTGCAGAACTGAGGTCTGAAAACAGGTGATTCATATTAGAGCCTCAGATTATGATTAAACCATCAGTTTGAAGCGACACGTTAAAGAAATGAGTCGTTGGTTCGTTCTGATCCTGGTCTCTGGTCATGGATTGTAAACGTGACGGTTTCTCCTGCTGTTGATAAATGAGCTGCAGGACAGAACTGAGACTTTCAGAGAGGAGGACGGGGCGGTCCTGGTGGGTTTACGGAGGTGATTCTTCAGCAGGAAGCCTCACAGGTTCTGTGGGACAGAAAAAAAAAGAGACTAAATCCTGAAGCTGTCTCTGCTGGAGTCAAACGTGTGAATAAAGTCTGTGTTTGCAGTCATTTTACTGTGCAGAGAGCTAATCAGCTGTAGCATCTGCAGCTACCAGCATCCCGGCGAGGAGGAGTGGCGTGTCGTGAACACATGATGGTGGAGCTACGTGTCTTTGTGTCTGAGAACAATAAAAGCTTTCATGTGATCCAGCAGGTGAAAAGCTCCACTAGTTAATGTAAAACCAACACAGAGACTTCAGCTTTTTTTATTTCCTGCTGCCAGGTAACCACGGGGGGGCGGAGTCAGGCTGGAGAACAGGAAAATAACATTGAACTGGGTTATAGATGCACGACGACGTGGGGGGTGGGGGATAATTTTCCCTCGACAGGTGTTCCCTCACGAGCAAATAACCGACTCA